TTGAACACGAGGAACACTAAAAAAAACCGTAGTTTGGTCCTAAAGCACTACAGATGGCAAAAAAAGTTTACTATGAGCCCCCGACTGATCACATGCAGAAATTTGCGAGGCACTCCCACAGTGGGCGGGGCGTGCATTTGAACACGAGGTACCAGTATAAAAAAAACCGTAGTTTGGTCCTAAAGCACTACAGATGGCAAAAAAGTGGATTATGGCCCCCGACTGATCACATGCAGGAATTTGCGAGGCACTCGCATTGTGGGCGGAGCGTGCGCCGAGGTGGGCGGAGCCAACCTAAAAAATTCGTAAAACGCTTCCAGAGCACTCCAGACACCGGGAAAAAGTAGTTTAAGATCAGCGAGGGGTCATCGGTTCACAAGTGTGAGGTACACCCGCTGTGGGCGGAGCGTGCACGGGGTGGGCGGAGCCAGTCTGAAAAATCCGTAAAACGCTTCCAAAGCACTCCAGACACCGGGAAAAAAATAGTTTAAGAGGGTCTTCGGTTGAGAAGCGCGAGGCATACGTTGTGGGCGGAGCGTGCGGCGAGGTGGGCAGGGCCAATTTTGAAAATTCCACGGTTCCTGAATGCTCCAGACACCGGGAAAAAGTAGGTCATCGAGGGGTCACCGGTTCACAGTTGTGAGGCATACCCGTTGTGGGTGGAACGTGCGTCGAGGTGGGCATGGCCAGCCCTAAGGTTTCTTCAAGCGGTTCCAGAGCACTCCAGGCCTCCTCTGTGATACGGCCCGGCTTTGCGGGGCGTGGTCCATCGCGCCTGCCTGCATTCGTATGATCAAATGCTCGACTAATACCCGGCTTTTCTCTCATCTGTCCACTTGATCAACGCTCCTTTTTACCATTCCATACACCATAATAGTGTTGAAAATAGCCGTTTTGAAAAAAATAAATAAAATAGCCGGAGCCGTTTTGTATCTCAGAAGGATGCGCGCCGGCTGGTAGTTGAATAATTCGCTAGTGTGTTTTATATGCTCTCATAGAAAATTTCATGCTCTATAACACTGCAATGGAAATCTGTTTTCCATAGCTGTTACTTTCTGTTAATTTCAGGTTATTAATACGGAATGTCAGGTCGATGAGAATCAGCATTCCCGACTTCTTCTCCCTACCGCTTTCCACGGAAGCTTCAAAGCCCCTGGAGCAGCTCAATAGATTCGCCATGGTTTGAGTAAAGCATTGAGTAACAGATTAACATTAGGACGGCTCACAGTTGATTTTGAAATGCAATGCTTTTCAATGCCTTCTCGGTGACTGACTGAGCTGGCTGATCGGTGGGAGGAGGTTGTAAGAAACAATGGAGAATATATCATTGACTAGTTTATTGTAAATATCTATATTTTTTATAGTGTTGTAAATACTGTTTTGAAATTTAATCAAGGAAAACAAAAAAATCGTGAGGTATGGGTCGACCGGATGTCTGCAAGGTCAGCGTTGTCGGTTTTGCTTTTCTCAAAATCAATTGTGAGCCGTCCTAATATTAATCTGTTACTCAATGCTTTACTCAAACCATGGCGAATCTATTGAGCTGCTCCAGGGGCTTTGAAGCTTCCGTGGAAAGCGGTAGGGAGAAGAAGTTGGAATGCTGATTCTCATCGACATTCATATTAATAACCTGACATTAACAGAAACCAAACAGCTATGGAAAACAGGTTTCCATTGCGCCTGCACCTTAGTCTGAATGCCCGCAAATATTATGGCGGAAAAACGATCACCTTTTTGTTCCTATAACTTATTTACTTACTCTCTAGTGATTTTTCTCATAACTTCCTAGTTTGAATTCCTCAAATTTTCATCAATAGTTATTTCAGTACATATTTGTATGTTGCTACATTGACAGCAGTTTCATACAACATGGATTCCTCAAATTTTCATCAATAGTTATTTCAGTACATATTTGTATGTTGCTACATTGACAGCAGTTTCATACAACACTTGATTTTATGTCCTTATTCGTTGTCGACGAAATGAACATTGAGCGGAAACTGCTTTGTAATCAGTCAGGAGTAGAGCATGTAAAAAAGAAGAAACTCGTTGATTCTGTGACCCTAAACTTTTTGCGCACGCTCTTGCGTGTGTTTTTGCATTTTCTTGCAATATGGGGATTATACAGATCTCAGGATATCTGTGAACTGCGAACCTTCCTCTTCCTACCGTTATTCCTTCCTTTCCTCCCTTGTCTTCCTTTTTCCTTCGATGCCGCTTCCGTTATTTTCCTTCCTCTATATGATCGAGCAGAAGATGGGATGAGAAAACACCTCTGGATCCTCCTAGCCAGAGAGTATCCGGTTGACAGATGTGTCTTGTGACCGATTATACCCGAAAAAAATGGATGACTGTTCGCCTTATATTGTTGTCAGTCGTTTGCGCACCATTAGTCAACTTCCTCCATGAACTATGCTTTCATTGCTCACGTTCTAGCGCTGCAGTCTAATCTTCTACAGTTTCAGGAAGCGTGTATGCAGCGCGCAACAATAATGTTCGACAGTATCAGAGAAGACGCAGAGCGCGTTGGTCATGTTAAACATGCTAGAGGAAAAAACAGTTACCAGCAGCAACGAAATCGTCGAAAGGTTGTGCACTTTGGTCTCCTTCTTCTACAACTCCACCACCCATCGATCTGGTCGGAAGCTTTTGTTCCGATTAGAATCTTTGGTGCCTAGCGAGAAAAGATGCTTGGTTTCTAATCCATGTTGCCGTAAATATCGTTTTTTAGTGCGGTCAAAACTCAAAGAACTCCGCGAAACGAAATGGACAAGAGCGGGGCGGTCAGTTGCGCAGTCCCGCTGTCTCTAGTGAAGGCTACGATGAATGGGAAACAGCTAGTGAGAGCAGCACACGTATTCTGCGAGGAGATCACTCTGAGTCCGCAATTTTCTAATGATGATTCGAATTTGAGTTCATTCTTTTGCTCTCATTGTATTGAGTTTTCCAGAGTCAGAGCATGCTTTGAGAACCCTCGTTGCATGGCAACTACGCCTTCTCGAAAGTGCTCTGATTATCGGATTGCCACTGCTGCTTCAGTTTTTGCATCACAGACTGAACATCCTAAAACTCGATCGGCTGCCATGGAGCGCCCTAACGGTTTAGGGTACGTCCAGTCTGCAGGTTGTATGTTGCCATCCCCTCTCGGAAACTTCAACATTGGGAGCAAAATGCGAAGCAATCGTCGATCGAGACATATTTACGAGTCGGAAAAAGTACGCATTTTGATGATAATTTTTTTGTTCTGATGAAATGCGCATCTTCAACTCATATAGCCATTCAGTATTGTTCTAGGACGTATCGGACGGTCTTATGGGTCTCAACATCAATGATGTTGCCAATGTGGTGGTTATCGACGACCGCTCAGTTGACGCCGCTAGTGTAGGCAAAAATGATGAACTTGAACAGGTCTGGAATGTTTTTCTGTTTTAATTTTGGGACTGTATAGAGATTCGGGAGGACTTTCAGTTCTTTCAATTTAGGTCCTGAACAAGAGAGTGAAGAAACAAATAGCACACATGATGCAAGCTAAGGTGGATGCTGAAGAGAAGCGGGCAAGTGAAATGGAGTGTCAGATACATATACAAGCGAAGAAAAGAACGCGTAGCAACAACATGAGGAAAGGTAGTGCTTCGTTGCGTGTTCCTTTAAAATCATTTTATGGTAGATACCGTGTTGTAGCAGCATAAGTTCGTATTTTTGGGTCGAAGACGCCATCTAGGGCCAAAGCCCTTTCCATTTCATCCGTAAATTCTATGCTTCTACACTTCTGAGCTGCTCTTCGATGCTCAGCGCGACGCATGCCCCGCCCACTGTGGGCGGGGCTTACCATGGTCATGGGTGCTATTTAGGTTTTGTCCCATGCTCTACCCATCCCCACCATGACCCGACCCTCCAAGTTCTTCTTCAGGTGCTATGAATTTCGTGACAAACAGACAGACGCACACACACGGACATAGCCGATTATATATAGTAGGAATTAGCATAAAATTTCAAGTGGAACAGACGCGATGCCCTGTGACCTTTTGCAGATTATCTGCGAGTTAAAGGTTGCCAACTTTGAAATTCTAATTAGTTCCGAAGCGTCTTATGAGGATTTTTCCGCTGGAAGTTCCAGCTCAACCTATTGCAAATGTATGGAGCAGCTTAAAGACACATGGTACGCTCACACACATTGAGGGTGTATGAGACTATCAGCCCCCCAGCTGTCGATGTGTCGTGGTCCCCCGCCCAAACATGCCCAGGAATGGAGATACAGGACCGTGAAACACGCTAATTCCTCCATGCTCCGCCTTACACCTTTTTGCGGCGCAGATTCCCGTCCTTCATAACATCCGTCGTAAGCGCGCGTGTCGCGTGCGGCTCCTTGGCACTTTGCCAAGTCCTTTAATTGCGCTCTCAAATACAAGTAAAACGCAATTTCCTGATGCGGATAACATTGGAGGTGCTGCAAAATAAGAACAGAAGATGATGACGAGGGTCAGAACTTAAAAGCAACTGTGCCACTTCTGCAACATCCCTCGGAGGCCGCGTATTTCCACGAAACATGAAAATAAAAACGGCATACTCGTTAGTTTGATACAAGCAAAACGCAATTTCCTGATGCGAATAAAATTTTAGGTGTTGCTCATGCTTCAAAATCCATGTACAAGGAGATGAAGATGACACAGGCTAGAAATGAAGCACAACGATGTAAATGTAAACAAAACAAAAATGAAAAAATCAAGGAAAGGCAAATTAGATAAACTGGCCTGTAAATTTCTACGATCCGGCGAATCCGGCGCCAAAGCCATAGAAATACTTAGAACAAACGAGTGGGACGCTTGGGTTGTTTTTATTCTCATGTGGGAATGCGCGGCCTCTGATGGATACTGCAGATGCAGCCGAGTTGCTCTTGAGTTCTGGCCCTCGTCATCATC